AAAAAAAAAAAAAAAAAAAAAAAAAAAAAAGCACTAGAGAGAGATAAGGGGGTGTTATTTATATAAGAAAAATGGAGGGAACGAGGGAGGAACAAGCACTAGACTATTATAATCAATAAACGCAACAAATTAAAAACTTCACAAATTGAACGCCCAGTTTCAATCTTTTTTCTCTTAGGGAAAAGCTTTACTGAGAGAGAGAGAGAGATAGTCCTTGAATTTGAAGCCAGCCCACCACACACTGCACATGGGGTCTCTTCAGAAGCAGGCGTCGAGCAGGCAGCAACAGCACAGCGCAGCCAAACTGCACACATAGTTCATATCATACTCGATTCTAGTATCAAACTCATCCCAAATTGATACCAATTTGGTACAAATTTAACGTAACAACAATCGACCATTCGCATATCTACGTAATCACATGATATTATCTACTTTAAACATGAAATCTCATATTAATGAAGATAATAGTAGTCCTAATCGATGACTTGCATCTAACAAAATTGAGTTTTGGAATAGTGTGATAGCTAATTGTAACGAAAATTGGGACTTAAATACCATCATGGATAGCTACTCGCGTTCGAGGTCTTAATCTAACAAATTTTGGAAGAATTATGAGTGTTTTAAAATAAATGACAAAAGATTAGATTTAGACTAATGATGATGTTCAATACATAGAAGAACAAATTATCCCACAATGTTGATCATTCACAATTTGATCCATCAATTAAGATCCACCCGAAAATCAAAGAATTTTACAATTAATACTAAATTCTTTAGGATAATCTATTTGTTTTCCTAAATTGAGAGGACAGACAGCTCAACATTGATCTGGAAACCATTAGAAAATGGCTAATATCATTGTATATGCTAAAAAATTGGATTAATTGCAATGATCTTATACAGTATGGTTTGTGCCGTTTGCAACAATTAAAATGATAAACATTATAATTTCTTAAGCTTCCCAGATTAAAATAAAATAGACATTAAAAAAGACTGTAATATAGAGGCTAACTGGGGGGCAAGTTGGGAATTTCATTAGGGCGATGAAACCGAGGCTGAACGCATTACCAGACGATGCAATTGGCTCGTTCTGAATTCAGTTTCCGATACCATATCATCGGAATGATTCAGATCCGATTTCAACCGCCTTGAACAGGTAAAAATGGAGAAATCAAGAGAGAGCGACTTACCAGCCTTGCAAGCAACCAGAGCTGCTACTTTGCTGTTGAGGAGGAGGAGGTTGACCGTACTGAGGAGCGTAAGGCGGAGGATATCCCTGCGGCGGATAAGCACCGGGAGGAGGATAGCCCTGCGGCGGATATCCTGGGGGCGGATATCCCTGCGGTGGATATCCCGGCGGCGGATAAGCATCCTTCGGATAACCTTCCGGCGGATAACCTAAAACAACCATCAATACTCTTAATCAACACAAAACATGCACAGATCTACAATCGCACACCACAATCCCACCGATCCAACACTAAAAACACCAAAATCATAACAAAAAACAGCAAAATACCATGAGGCGGAGGCACTCCAACCGGAGCCTGGCCTTGATTATAATAACTCATCTCTTCTAATTCCTCTTCAAATCACAAGATATCTCCCTCTCAACACAATCAATCCCGACCGCCGAACAACGTCGACGAATCCGGCCGGAATTCACAAAAACAAAAACAAAAAAATGAAGGAAAAACTGAAGATAGATGGAGGAGTTAATGGAGACGACAGCGAAGGTCTGCGAAGTACAGAGAAGAAGATTGGGATCTGAAGGATTTGTATATATAATCCGAAGACAGAGTTTGAGATTACCGACAAACAGAGAAGGCTATGTTTGTTTGCCACTAACCCGGGAAGGCTTATTATGTAATCCGTTTTTCGTTTCTCGATTAGTTTTAATTAAGGAGTTTACCAGGGGCCCACGATTTTGACACGTAATAACATCAGTGGTCGACGATGATGACGATCGACGGTCGGTATTTTTTCTATTAATATTAAGTAAATGTATTTTATTTTATTTTAATTTTTCAAAGAAAGTCATAAACTAAGAGCCGCGTGGTGAACGCTTACGAGGATATAGGATCTTGCAGTCAGTCGTTTTGACCAATTATTATTTTTTCTTAAAAGTATTATTCTAAATAAATATTTCATAAATTATCCATAAACTATAAAAATGGTTACACTCTCGAACTTTATTGTATAATGATTAGTAGAGGTGTACATTGAACTCGAGAACCCAAATCAACTCAACCCGAATTATAAGGATTGGGTAGGACTAGATTGAATTTTCGAGTTGGGTTGGGTTGGTTTTTTAGGACTCAATCCAATTCGGGTTGGATAAAAAAATAAAGAACGAATTGTCAGGCCCAACCTGTGTTCTTCTTCCTCGACCCATTACCGAACAGTACAACACAATCTTCATCGGCCAACATGATTACTCCAATATCCTAGCTATTTGACGTGATGATGGGCAGGTAAATACCTATTCGCCGCTCGCAGCCCACACCAGTACTTATTCGTTATTCCAGTTTTTACTCGGGTATACTCGCCTCACCACTCGTGCTCAATTCTTCATCTTCTTCGTTCTTCCTTCCTTCCTTCCACAGTGCTCTTCCTTGCAAGTTTGCATAGGGCAGATGCATAGTCGTAGACTCGCACTCCTTCTCATAGGCTCACAGTCGCACTCCTCGTCCTTAGTGACTTAGTTAATACCTTTAATTTGACACGTTAATCCCTCTAAAAATTTAAGATTTGGATGCAATTATTTGGTCGGTACTTTGTATATAATATTAATACGAAAAATATCAAATAAAAATATTAATATAAAAAAAATTAATTGTTGTGCCACGTGGGCTGCTTTACTGGCTTGTAGATAAAATCCTTAAAAAACATTCAGAGAAAGGTAGCAGGAAAAAGGCCAAGAAGCTTCCAGGAAGGCAGACCGCACGTGCGTACGCTTTTTCTTTTTGTCTATTTTATCTAAATAATTATCCATAACAAAATTGGTATTGGAAAACCAACCATTCATTGCACATCCACTTTGGTGAGGATTGAATTTGTAATTTAGCCCTCAAAATATTTAACTATTAAAACTTCAAATCCTCCCATTAATTTTAATTTCCGATTTATTAAGCTTTTATAAAAAAATTAGCTCATTAATTAAATGAGTCGAAATATATTCATATGCACGTATTTGAGATTGAACGACCCCAGTTGATTGAAACTTTGATAGGAGTTGGATGATCCCATGAAAGGGTCGGATTTGAGAAGCTACCGTGCGACCGCTATTCGGGTCAAACTACTTATCTACTTGATATCCTCTCTAGCAATGCCAAAGCAGGAGCCAAGCCAGCACATCGAGGAATCCCTGGTTCGACTTTCATATTTATAATACTAAAATATAATAATTAAACAAAAAAAATGGGCTAAGGAAATGGGGTGCGTTAAAAAATAAGGATCAGCCAAACTCACCACTAAGCTTTGGCTTACGTAGAGAATAAGGGGAATATGGACCAAAGTTTTCTCAAATCACCTTTTGTAATGATTCACACCTATCACTACTAGATATTTTGGCCTGTTATATATCGTTGTTAGCATCACGATTTTAAAACGCGTCTACTAGGGAGAGTTTTCCACATCCGAATGTTTCGTTCCTCTCTCTAACCGATGTGGGATCTCACAGTCCATTCTCTTAGAAGCCTAGAGTTGTAGACCACCCAGTGTATGGCTTTGAAACTATTGTAACAGTCCACGTCCACCACTGACAGATATTGTTCACTTTGAACTGTTATGTATCGCTGTTACATTTCGTTCTTTGTTCCTTACTATTCTCAAGTTAAGGAAACCAGCTATATCTTAATGATGGATCTTCCTCACGGCCCAAAGACATGTTTTAAATTCAATTCTTCACTCGCTTACAACAAGCTACCATATTTCCGCTGTTTGTAGTCTACAGGAACATTCATTGCAGCTGCAAGATATGGGAGTGATACCCACATCTGCACTCAGCCGGGGCGTTCGTTGGCTGATAGTTAAGCGTGAGATCCCACATCAATTAAGAGGAGAACGAAACAACCTCTCCTAGCATACGCATTTTACAAACTTTGAGGGAAAGCCCGAAAAAGAAAACACAAAGAAAATAATATCTGTTAGCGGTGGCCTTGAGCTGTTACAAATGGTATCAGAGCTAGACACCGGGCGATATGCCAGCAAGAAGGTTGAGCCCTGAAAGGCGTGGACACAAGGCAATGTGCAGGAAGGACACTGGGCAACAAAGGGAGTGGATTGGGGGTCCTACATTGATTGGAGAAGGGAACAGTGGTAGAGAAAACGCTGGAACTTGAAGGGGTGGATTGGAGAGAAGACTGTGTGGAAATCTCTCCCTAACAGATGTGTTTTAAAAATCTGAAGAAAAAGTCTGAAAAGAAAAATCCAAATTGAACTGTTACAAATGGAATCAGAGTCAAACATCGGGCGATGTGTGAGTAAAAGCGAAGACGAGCTGGTATAGACCATTAAAACTGCCGTTTACTTATGGTGCTGAAATACAATAGTGAATAACTTCATACTGCACACACTGCCATTATCTACTACAGCTGTTGATGCTTATTGCAAATTATGTATAGCAGTTGACTATAAATTCTGAGCTACTCCAACAACAGTAGAATGTGAGCTACCATCAAACTGCAAATAATTGCATGGGACCATCTTTTATGTTATCCATCATTACTTTATAAATGGATTCACTTTGGGTGAAATATTTGCAAGAAAACCAAACACGACTAGGCCAAACATTAAGAATATGAACCAATTTCCAATCACATGTCTGTCCTAAATGACAGTTCCATAAGAAAATTGCTAAGGAGGAGGACTCGAAAGCTTTTTGTGCATCACCTTTTGTTGTAGCCCTTGATCTAAACTTGGAAACAAACATTAACCGAGGAATGATATATGTGAGATCCTACATTGGTTGAAGAGGAGAACGAAATATTATTTATAAGCGTGTGAAAACCCGAAAAGAAAAGTCCAAAGAGGATAACATTTGCTAGCGGCAGTGGGTTTGGGCCGTTACAAATGGTATTAGAGCCAAACACGAGACGATGTGCCAGCGAAGAGGTTGAGCCCTGAAGGGGGTGGATACAAGGCAGTGTGCCATTAAGGACACTGTGTCCCGAAAGAGGGTGGATTGGGGGTCCCACATCGATTGGAGAAAGAACGAGTGCCTACGAAGACTCTGGACCCGTAGGAGGGTGGATTGTGAGATCTCAAATCAGGTGGGAAGAGAACGAAGCATTCTTTCCAAGGGCATGAAAACCTCTCCCTAGGCTTTTTAAAAACTTGGAGGGAAATCGCAAAAGAGAAAGTTCAGAGATAACAATATTTGCTAGCGGTGGACTTGGGTCGTTACAAATGGTATCAGAACCAGACACTGGACGATGTGTCAACGAGGAAGCTGAGCCTCGAAGGGGGTGGACACGAGGCAGTGTGTCAGCGAGAACGCTCGGTCCCACGTCGATGGGAGAAGGGAATGAGTGCCAGCGAGAACATTAGAGCCTAAAGAGGGGGTCGATTGTGAGATTCTACATCGGTTGCGGAGGAGATCGAAAGAAGCATTTTAAAGTGAAAAAACGGACGGACGATATTTAGTAGCGGGGAGAGAGTTATGTTATAAATGGAAGTCAGGCGGTGGGGGCAAAATGTTGGCATGACATTGTCAGTCCCTATTCATCTCATCCTACAGAGAATTAAACTCTAGGCTTCTGCTCCAGTTCTGCAACCTCAACAGCTTTCGGTCAAAGATCGTACACGGATTTTCTCTGCTCCTGGGCCCTGTTTGTGCCCCCACTTCTTCAATGAGTATCTTATCATTTCTGCTCATGCTCCAATCCACACTAAACCTGTTGTTAATGCCTGATTAGCAGCTGACCACGTTGTCTCAATTTCTTACATCAAAAGTCTTTTATTTGTCATTGCAGCTCAACAACATTGTGGCTGCTGTGATTGCTTTCTTCCTATAGCTAGACTGGTCGAGTCAGCGTGCGGCATTCGTGAGAGAAGTTTTCGTCGTTCAATCTCGATATGAGAAGCGAAGAATTCTACTCCGTTCCTTAGTATGTCATATTAATCTCATTTGACATGTCCCGACGTTTTAACTATCGTTAGCCCACCGTCAATAGATATTGTCTATTTTTGTCCGTTACATATCATCGTTAGCCTCACGATTTTAAAACGTATTTATCCCCTCTTCAACTAATGTCTTTCACACCCTTTATAACCAATCTTTATAACTAATGTTTCGTTCTCTCTCCAACTAATTGCTAGGGAGAAGTTTCTCCACACGTTTATAAGTAATGTTTACATGAACAGCACACCTAAAACAGGTTTATAAATAAAAACAAAAATTGAAATCGAAATATATAAAACCAACAAAAATCTAAAAAAGTTTTTTAAAAAAATGAAGGGATATTTACCAATTTGGCCTCAAAACATGATGTCTCCAAAAACTTTTGAAGTCATCAACCAAACATGAATATTTCCTATTTCCCTATAATGCCCACAAATCATTTCCAATGTTTTACCCATTTCAAATCATTTTTATTCTCTTTTGCATTAAATTTCACCTTTAAAATACTTTTTTCATAATTTTTTAATTCCCTATATTATTTTAATTGTGTCCCCCAATAGCATTTTTTTTTTAAAATCTTGAATTTTTATTAGTGAATGAATTTAATCATTTTATTTAAGTATTTTTTTAGTTGATAATGGCCATAAAATCACTAATAAAATATATAAATTGATTTATTTCAACCTTTAAATTGAAAATGTAGTACAAAAATTAAATTTTCTAAATGGAAAGGTAA